CCTGCTTCTCTGCCTACTTGTGATCTCTCTCTGTCAAATAAATAAATAAAATAAAAAAAAAAAGTGACATCTTGGGGTGCCTGGGTGGCGGCTCAGTCAGTTGGGCAGCTGCCTTTGGCTCAGGTCATGATTCCAGGGTCCTGGGATCGAGTCCTGCATCAGGCTTCCTGCTCAGTGGGGAGCCTGCCTCTCCCTCTCCCTCTGCCTGCTGCTCCCCCTACTTGTGCTCTTTCTCTTTCTCTCTAATAAATAAATACACTCTTAAAAAAATAAAATCTTCCCATTTGCAACAATGTGGATATAACTAGAGGGCATTATGCTAACTGAAATAAGTCAGTCAGAGAAAGACAAATACCATATGATTTCACTAATATGTGAAATTTAAGAAACAAAACAGAGGATCAGATGGGAAGGGAGGGAAAAATAAGGCAAAATCAGAGAGGGAGACAAACCGTAGAGACTCTTAACTATAGGAAACAAGCTGAGGGTTGCAGGAGGGGAGGTGGGTGGTGGGATGGGGTAACTGGGTGATGGGCATTAAAGAGGACATGTGATGTAATGAGCACTGGGTGTTCTATGCAACTGATGAATCTCTGAACTCTACCTTGAAGCTAATAATACATTGTATATTAATTAAGTGAATTTAAATAAAAGCTTTAATAAAAGAGGTTCTCTATCATATATATATTTAAAGATTTTATTTATTAGAGAGAGACAGAGAGGAGGAAGAGGAGGAGAGGGAGAGAAGCAGACTCCCTGCTGAGTGCAGAGCCAGCCATGGGGCTGGACATGGAGCTCAATGCAGGACTCAACCTCATGACCCTGAGATCATGACCTGAGCCTAAATCAAGAGTTGGACACTTAACTGTCTGAACCACACAGGTGCCCCCTATCATATATATTTTTAAGTTTATTTATAATCTCTACACCCAATGTGGGGCTTGAACTCATGACCCTAAGATCAAGAGTTGCCTGTTCTTCTGACTGAGCCAGCCAGGCACCCTGAGGTTCTCTATTATAGATTTTAAATGATTTAAGAAATATTAACCAAATGTAATATGTGGAAATTTTTGAATTTTTTTTTTGGAAATTTCTGAATTCTAGTTCAAGCAAACCTAAGGTAAAAAGACATTTTTGAGACAGGAAATTGAACACAGACTAGATATTAGATGGCATCAGGCCAATAGCACTTTACCATACATAATAAAGTGTCTATAGGTGGAATGATAGGATGCCTAGGATTCACATTAAAATACTCAAGGAAAAAAAAAGGGAGAGGAGGAGTAAAGTGAGGCAAGGAATAGTTTGAAATAAATTGGCAAAAATACTGAAGTTTTGAGTGCCTGAGTGGGTCAATAGGTTAAGCATCTGCCCTTGGCTTAGGTCATGATCCTGCAGTCCTGGGATCAAGCCCCACATCAGGCTCTCTGCTCCACAGGGAGTCTGCTTCTCCCTCTGCCCCTCCTTCCATTCGTTCTCTCAATCTCTCTCTCAAATAATAAATAAAATCTTTAAAAAAAATTGAGTTTTAAAAAACAAATATTGGGGTGCCTGGGTGGCTCTGGGTTAAAGCCTCTGCCTTTGGCTCAAGTCATGATCCCAGGGTCCTGGGATCGAGCCCCGCATTGGGCTGTCTGCTCAGCAATAAGCCTGCTTCTCCCCCCACCCCCACAACCCCGCTGCCTACTTGTAATCTCTGTCAAATAAATAAAATCTTTAAAAAAAATTTTTTTTAAAGATTTTATTTATTTGACAGACGGAGATCACAAGTAGGCAGAGAGGCAGGCAGAGAGAGAGAGAGAGAGGAGGAAGCAGGCTCCCCGCCGAGCAGAGAGCCTGATGCGGGGCTCGATGGGGCTCGATCCCAGGACCCTGGAATTGTGAACTGAGCTGAAGGCAGAGGTTTTAACCCACTGAGCCACCCAGGTGCTCCAAATAAATAAAATCTTAAAAAATTTATATTGATGTTTTCAAGCTGGGTGATGGGTAAAGTAGATTCATTTTTTAGTCTACTTAGTATATGTTTGGAAGTGTCCATAATAAAATTCTTCTAAAGTTTGCAATAAAGATTCACATATTTGTCTATGAGTGTGACTGCTTCTCTAGACTAGCTTCCTGTAAGTGGAATTCCTAAATGTAAGGAATGAGAATTTTTACCTTGACTGGAAATTTCTCTCCGGGTGTTTGTAATAAGAGGGTTGAGGACAAACTACCCCCAAATATGGTACCTTGGCAAACTGAATATTTTCAACAAAAGGAATTCGACACAAAGCAAGTGCAGAAAGGACTCTGACCTTCCCTGAGGTGAGTCATAGGCTCCCACGTGAGAGGTGCCCTCCCTATACCCAGAGGAAAGGAGCACCATTTTCTCCAAGACATGGGGAGGATTCTGAACCAATAGGCTTTGCTGTTTCCTCCAGTTTACTGCACTGAGCTCATATTCCTTTGTCCCATTCCATGTTCTATAAGTCTCTACTCTTGATCAAACAGCCTAAAACACTCAGACTTACCTGCTTCTTCAGGTGATTTCCTTTTGAAGTCTCCTGTGTTACATAAAACTTATGATAAATTCATACGCTTTTCTCTTGTTAATTTCTTTTGTTACAGGGCCCCCAGCTCAGAACTTAGGGGGGTAGATAAAAAAAAAAAAAAAATCCTTCCCTACAGTAGCAATTTACAAGTTTCCCACAATCCCCAAATACTTGTTTGATGTTTTAATTTCTGTTAATCTGATGGATACAAATAGTATATTATTTTATTTATATTTTTACAAAGATCATTTGAGAGAGAGTATACAGGATGGGGAAGGGTCAGAGGAGGAGGGAAAGAGAATCTCAAGCAGACTCCCCACCCAGTTTGGGGCCCCACTAGGGTTCCATCTTACAATTCTGAGATCATGACTTGAGCGGAAATCGAGTCAGATGCTTAACCAACTGAGCCACCCAGGTGCCCCAGTATCTTATCATTTTAAATTGTATTTCCCTGATAGTTGTATAGTTGAGCATTTTTCAGACCTTTATGTGCTACTTAAATTTCTCTGGAAAATTGCTTTTCATATTCTTTGCCCATTTTTGTCTTCTACTGATTTATAGTTATTTCATATTCTGACACTAAGCTTTTGTTATGTATGTTACAAATATTTCTTTCCAATTTATTCCTTATATTTTAATTTTTTAAAAGATTTTATTTACTTGACAGAGATCACAAGTAGGCAGAGAGGCAGGCAGAGAGAGAGGAAGGGAAGCAGGCTCCCCGCTGAGCAGAGAGCTGGATGTGGGGCTCTATCCCAACACCCTGGGATCATGACCTGAGCTGGAGGCAGAGGCTTTAACCCACTGAGCCACCCAGCCGCCCCTATTCCTTAAATTTTAAATTTGTTTGCAGACACTCTTGCATCCAGAAATTTTAAATTGTAATGTCAAATAAGTCTTAATTTCATTTATAGATTTTGCTCTTTGTTCCTTAGGAATGACATTCAAATCCCAAGCTCTTATTACTGATTAAAAAACAATTATTATTTTTTAAATTTTAAGTAAACTCTAGCCGGTGGGGCTGGAATTCACTACCCAGAGACTAAGAGCCTCATGCTTTAGAGACTGAGCCAGCCAGGCACCCCTCTTATTACTGATTTTAATAAGAATGCTTCATAATTTGTAATCAAATGTTTCATTTTTACAGGTAAGACTTTATTTCAAATGACATGGTTTTTCTTCCTTCAGTTGTTAGTTTGACCTATTTCTTTACCTTAAAACATCCTTGCACTCTAGAGTTAAAACCTACTGTCAATATATATTTTTTTTAACTACACTGCTTGATTCAATTTGCTCAAACTGCTAATATTTTATTTGAACCTTGCATCTTTATGCATAAGTGAAATGGGCTTCTGCTGTCTTTTGAGTTGTCATTGATTGGGTTTACTTCGGTAAGTCCTTAGTGAGGTACCAAATCTGAAATATGTAGGCAAATTGTTTTTCTTGTTATCCTTCCTTCCAGTTTAGGACTTTCTGAAGCTAGGACCAGCCCTCCCGACTCCCAACATACACACATATCCCAAGGCGCCCATACAATCCCAGTATGGGGATAATTCCTAGTATTTCGATCCTGCTACCGGGCTTACTGGTACTAAGGGTGATTGAAAGAGCACATTAATGATGGTTTTAGCTCAAAGAAATATTATTTAGTAATTGAGGATGTCGGTCAATAGCTGTGAGGCTCCCTCTCTGTGAGCCTCAATTTCCTTACATAGAGAACGAAATCATTAAAACACCTAAGACAAGTTTAGAGACGTGCATAAAATGTGTGGAAAGCAACAATGGCTGAGACAACACAAGTGCTAACGACTCTGGCTAGCACCATCCCCGCTGTCACTGCTTCCGCGACAGCAGCAGACGCGGGCGGGCGGCGAGGGCGCGGTGCCCACGGTCAGCAGCCCGACCCCCTAAGCCCTACTGCCGGGTCCTGGTCTCTGCTCTGACCCGCGTTAGAAGGCCCGTGCCTCCCTCGCGGCTGAAAATGAGAGGAATCCCACCCGCCCCACTGAGCGGGTGGCGGCCCAACCGCGTTCACCGACGCGAATGCCGGGAACCTATCTAGCCTCGCTCACAAGCCCGCGATGAGTGGCTGCTTTTATGACTGTTATTCACTTTCTCCGGGCCCAGCAACAAAGGTATGCCGACACAAGTGGCCGCCGGACAAGTTCCCGAAGTTATGGAAGAGAGCTGCACCAGCCCGCCTTCCAACCCCGGCCAAACTCCGTACGCGGCGCGAGAAACGAGACAGGTCGACTAAAATGTCCGCCCTGTGCGCAGGCGTAGCACTGGCGGCCCTGGCTCGAGGCCCCGCCCCCAAGCTCGCGCTTGTCCGTTCCCTCCTTGGGTTTGAAGCTCGGGATTGACCCAGAGGCGTTTCCGGCTCTGATTGGTCGAAGTGGAGTCACGAAGGCTCCGGCTCCTTCCGGAGTGTGTGTGTCCAACGGGCCTCAGTCGCCAGTCGCGGTTGGGAGGGCGCGGTAGACTCCTTGGCGCCTGCGGGCTGCTGCGGGCAGCACTGGCAGAGTGCGGTGGCTCTGGGTGGGCGGGGCCGTACACCCGCGGTCTTCTCTCCAGGCGGGACGAGGCTGTGCTAACGGGTTACTTTGAGAAGTGGCGGTTCTAGGTTCTGGTGTGAGACTCCTTCTTTGGGCAGTGTATTTGGATGGCTCAGAAATGGGCGCCGCTCCACTTAACCCCGAGTTCTCAGTCTGGAAAGGTAAAGACACTTGAATTGTAGGTAGTGATCTTTTACCCGTAAGGGGTTTTATTTTGGATATGTGTGCTTTCCTTTGAGCTGCTGGTAGTGGAATCAATTTTTTAAAAATCTCGAAATTATTTGAAAACGCGTGTTGAGGGACGCCTGGGTGGCTCAGTTGGTTAAGCAGCTGCCTTCGGCTCAGGTCATGATCCTAGCGTCCTAGGATCGAGTCCCACATCGGGCTCCTTGCTCGGCGGGGAGCCTGCTTCTCCCTCTGCCTCTGCCTGCCATTCTGTCTTCCTGTGCTCGCTCGTTCTCTCTCCCTCTCTGACAAAAAAAAAAAAAAAAAAAAAGAAAACGCGTGTTGAAGGGAACAGAATGAGAGGGAAAGGGAGGAAGTCTTGGAAGCTTGCCTAATACCTGGAGGATTTCTAGACCGTGGCAAAAGGCAAGGTATGGGGCATCTGACCTACAAATAGATGCCAAAAATAATTTTTTTCTCTGCATTTTGATATTCACTAGTGTGAGTAAAAGATTCCAAATGAAAGTAACTTTAGGGTGAGGTTTGCCATGTTTATGACAAATAGAAACTTATTCCAGATACTAGAGGAAAATACGCATAGCGTGGAATGTTGAAGGCCCTGTGATGACCCCAATGTGGTGTTCACTTTAAGCAGGGAAAAGGTCCAGGTGAACTGAAGAAAATGAGTCTCTTTTTAAAAAAAAATATTTATTTATTTGACAGAGATCGCAAGTAGGCAGAAAGGCAGGCAGTGAGAGAGGGGGAAGCAGGCTCCAGGGGGAAGCAGGCTCCTTGCGGAGCAGAGAGCCCCGATGTGGGGCTTGATCCCGGGACCCTTGGAATCGTGACCTGAGCTGAAGGCAGAGGCTTTAACCCACTGAGCCACCCAGGTGCCCAGAAAATGAGTCTTTTTCCGAAGTAGATAAAGGTGGGGAAGATGAGACCCTGTAAGAGGACTGTGACTGTAGAGATGAGGTAATTGTGTATATACAGTGCGGAGCAGAATGACTTACTAATGTCAACAACCAAAATCCAGAGTAAAACAGTTGAACTGGGGGCGCCTGGGTGGCTCAGTGGGTTAGGCCTCTGCCTTCAGCTCAGGTCATGGTCCCAGGGCCCTGGGATCGAGCCCCGCATCGGGCTCTCTGCTCCGCAGGGAGCCTGCTTCCTCCTCTCTCTCTGCTTGCCTCTCTGCCTACTTGTGATCTCTGTCTGTCAAATGAATAAAATATTAAAAAAAACAAAACAAAACAGTTGAACTGCCTTGTTTAATCTGAAAAGTGGTATTGTGAACACTTTCTGACTTACTTTCACAAGTCCACGCTACCTAGACTCAATATCAAATTCTGACCCAGTCATTTTTAGGGGGAAAAAAATTGCAGACCACTCCCATGAACATAGATGCAAAAATTCCGAATGGAATGGTGGCAAATTAAATACCAGTGTCAACTGAAAAGAAGAGTACATTGTGAGAAGTGAGGTTTCTTTTGGGGGAATGCAGAAGTATTTTGTGTTTGAAAAGTGATATTGGTTGCCCAGAAGCACGGGTTTGATAGAAAATCTCTTGATTCTTAAAATTACTTCATTAAATTCCATTAGTTTGTGTGCCCGCCAGACATCTGTGTTTTCAGATTTATTTTTTGGATAAATATTTAGGTCCCTACTATGTTCTCTGTTTCTGGTTGGGAGCCTCTGTGTGAGTATTGAATATGGATAGGTTTAAGTTGACTCCTAAAAGAATTGAGGTGGATGAGTGGGTACACAGCCCATGGTAATAGGTGACAGAGAAGGGATTGTTAGGGCCAATTTAATGGTAAAACCTGTTTAACTATTAGGGCCTGCTTAGCCAGAGCAACTCCATATTGCCTAGGTAGCCATATTGTTGTTTACACCCACGGGCTTCATTCCAGGAATAAACGCCCCTGTAGTTCCTGGTATGGTTCCGGGTATCGATTCCGGGAATAAACTCCTTAACAATAGAAGTCACGTACCTTGGGTCTACGGTTATGCCCTATCAAACCAGCCTGTGAGATCGGGAGGGGGTCGCTCTCTTCGGAGGTGGCCCTGGCCGGTCAGTCTGACTTCTAATGCTTGGCATAGAATAAGGCTTTGCATAACTTTCACTTGCCTCAGCCTTGTTCCTTTGATAATGGACCCCAACAGGATTATACAGGGTTTTGCTGAATCCAAAGCCCCTACCCCTTCCTGATTCATTTTTTTTGTACCCCCCCGCACACACACTCCTGCTACCGCCCCCAAGCAACTTATTTTGGGAAAGACAGGCGGCCACTTGTATAATAGAAACTTTATTCAACCCTATTCAGGCTAGTAGTTGTTTTAATCAATCAAAAGTAAATTATCCGTACATACCTTTTGATTTTAATGTAAAACATGTCAAATGTGGGGGTGCTTGGGTAGCTCAGTTGGTTAAACGTCTGCCTTCAGCTCAGGGCATGATACCGGGGTCCTGGGATGGAGTGCCGAGCTGGAGGACTGCTTTGCTCTCTCTTGCTGTCAAATAAATAAAAATCCTAAGGAAAAAAAAATGTTAAATGTGTATTCACTTATGAATATTTTGATGTGGGACTAAGGCCTTGTTTTTGACTTTGGATTCAGTGTTGGAATATTTTGTCTCCCAGTACAAAGTACTCCCGTAAGTGCAGCTTCTGTAATTTGAAGTTTGTTTCTTTTTTTCTTTTTCAGTTTTTATTTAGGTAGTCTCTGCATCCAACGTGGGGCTGAACTCACAACCCCGAGATCAAGAGTTGTATTCTTTTCCACCTGAGCCAGACAGGCACCCCAAAGTTTTGTTTCTTTAAAGCAAAGCAAAACCTTAAAAACTGCTAGTAAAGCAATTTCAATACTCCTACATTTTTACCATTTTTACCATCCTTTTATGGTTGCTCACCCACACCTAATTTGACTACTGTGTGTGTGTGTGTGTGTGTGTTTTAAGATTTTTATTTATTTGACAGAGAGAAATCACAAGCAGGCAGAGAGGCAGGCAGAGAGAGGGAAGCAGGCTCCCCACTGAGCAGAGAGCCGGATGCGGGGCTTGATCCCAGGACCCTGAGACCATGACCTGAGCTGAAGGCGGAGGCATAACACACTGAGCCACTCAGGGGCCCCTTAAGTTTCATCAAATAGGTCTGAAGCATTCAATGTTGTTTTCAGAGATTCGGTAACTTACTTTTTGCATTGATCTGATTGGTTCATATGATTTTATTATGGAATCGAAACTGCAACTATGACAGCCAAATATGGGTTTGGAACAAACACAATGGATGCTTATTGGGGATGTACTTTAGCCTACGACAACAGACATGACCAGGTGTTCTGTGAGCACCATAGAGGAGCCTGCTAGCCACACCTGCTTGGTATTTCGTGGACCTCAAGTTAGTAAGTCCTGTTTGGAATGGAGACTGTCATTTAATCTAGCCATAGATCTAGGTTCGTATGATTTGGTTAAGTAGACATAGTTAGACACAGTTAAGAGAACATCTATTGTTTTGTGATGTTTACTATACACTGCATTAGCTTATGTAGCAATAAGCCAGAAAATTCTTGGTGAATGCAACTTTTGCTTTGGAACCCAGACTCTTATTCTTGGAAGAAAACAGGAGTGGTCACGTTATATCCTCCCTAGGCTGATATGCATGTGATGTGGTTCTGGACTGTTCACAGTGGTCACCCTTGGTCATTCCCTTTAAAAGTGTGATTGATTGATTTTTTAAAAAGATTTTATTTATTTATTTGTCAGAGAGAGCACAAGCAGGGGGAGCTGCAGCTAGAGGAAGAAGCAGGTTCCTTGCTGACCAAGGAGTCCAAAGCAGGACTTGATCCCAGGACCCTGAGATCATGACCTGAGCCAAAGGCAGATGCTTAATGGACTGAGCCACCCAGGCATCCCTAAAGTGTGATTCCTATAATGGTTTTCTCTGATCAGTGCAGCATATAGAAGTATGCTCATAGTTAGATGAACTTTTAGGTTATTCAGACCCCAAAGTTGGCTCATTGAAATTATTTCATTAAAGCCCTTATCTCTTCGGATGCCTGGCTGGCTCAGTTGGAAAAGCATGCTACTCTTTTTTTTTTTTTTTAAAGATTTTATTTATTTACTTGACAGAGATCACAAGTAGGCAGAGAGGCAGGCAGAGAGCGGGGGAAGTAGGCTCCCCACCTAGCAGAGAGCCTGATATGGGGTTTGATCCCAGGACCCTGAGGCGATGACCTGAGCTGAAGGCAGATGCTTAACCCACTGAGCCACCCAGGTGCCCCAGATTAGGGCCTACTCTAATGATCCCATTTTAACTTAATTACTTCTTTAAAAGCCTGTCTCCAAGTACAGTAACATTCTTAGATACTGTGGATTAAGACTTTGACATACGGATTTTAGTGGAATATAGTTCAGCTCATAACACCAGTAATGCCTTCCCTCCGTTGTGACATTGTTCCTAGTTAACACTGGCAAGGTGAAGACATTTGTTTTATGTATTACCCATAGTTCTTAATTTTGTCCTTCTGTGTATGGTGAGAAATCATTCAATGCTTTGCTAAAATTTTAATCTTTAAAAAAAAAGAGATTGATTTATTTGAGAGAGAACTCTCATGTGCTTGCACGTGAGTGTGGGGGGAGGGGCAGACGGAGAGAGAGGAAAAACTCAAGCAGATTCCATGCTGAGTTTAGAGCCCAATGCGGGGTTTGACCTCATGGTCCTGAGATCATGACCTCAGTCAAAACCAAGAGTCAGGTGCTTAACTGACTGTGCCACCCAGGCGCCCCTAACATTTTTATCTTTAGTTTTATAGTACCATACCCAATTATAAGTAGCTGTGGGTTGGAATTGATGGTGCAATTAGGAAGCATGAGGCCCAATCTTTGAGGCTTGGCTCTCACTCCTCCTCTGTATGTTCCAGGTGCCTGTTGTGGGGGGCTGTTCACTTTGTGTTTATTTGTATGTGAAGAGTTGGCACTCTAGGGGTGCCTGGCTGGCCAGTTGGTGGAGCACGTGACTCTTGATCTCAGGGTTGTGATTTCAACCCCCACGGTAGGTGTAGAGATTACTTAAAAATAAAATCTTAGGGACGCCTGGGTGGCTCAGTTGGTTAAGCAGCTGCCTTCGGCTCAGGTCATGATCCCAGCGTCCCGGGATCGAGTCCCACATCGGGCTCCTTGCTCGGCAGGGAGCCTGCTTCTCCCTCTGCCTGCCATTCTGTCTGCCTGTGCTTGCTCTCTCTCCCTCTCTCTCTGACAAATAAATGAATAAAATCTAAAAAAAAAAAAAAAATCTTAAAAAAAAAAAGCAAACAAACCGAAAAACAAAACAAAGAGTTGGCACTCTTAGTGGCATGTGGAACCACCCAAACAGTAGTTGACTTGGTATATTTTCCTAGGCCAGTAGTTTGGAAACTTCTAGAAACCTAGTTCCTTCCCTCTAAAGGATTTGATAGCTCTAAGTGTAGTCTAGGATTTTTTTTTCTTTTTCTTTTCCTGTTTCTTTAGACAAGTTTGCCAGGTGGTTCTGGGAGCTCTCTTACTACACGCTGAGAAACTCGTCTCTGAGAGCTCAGCGTAGATGCTGGCACAAGTACATGACTGAATCGTGTACTTGCTGACTGTACAGCATGGTGGTAACCTCGTGGGCTCAGGCATTGTGTAGGTACAATATTTGGGCACAGTAAAAGCCCAAGTGGAAAACAAGGGGATTTTTTACTGCAGTTTGGCATTACACAATGCCAGAATTTCAGTGGAATTTTCTTTTAGTGACATTGTTTCTGAACTGTTCGAGTTCTTTTTTTTTTCTTTCTTTTTTAAAATTTTACCTTCTTATATGGCTGCTGGTGGCAAATATAGGTCCTGTATCACTTCTTCTTTTTTGCCCAGTTGCATTTTCTCTTTCTCACTTCTTTTGTATCAGAAGAGTATTTCCTGGGTGTGAGCGTATTTTATAGTACTCAGACCGTCTTGGTAAAAACAAAAAGATAATAATAATAGTAAACATTCATTGAGTACTCATTGTACCGGGCATTGTTCTTTGTTCCTTATTTAGATGAATTCATGGAATCTGTTAAGACAGCCCTCAGTGGTAATTAATTAATTATTTATTTATTTAAGATTTTTATTTATTTATTTGACAGAGAGAGATCACAAGTAGGCAGAGAGGCAGGCAGAGAGAGAGGAAGAGAAGCAGGCTCCCCGCTGAGCAGAGAGCCCGACGCGGGGCTCGATCCTAGGACCCCGGGATCATGACCCGAGCCAAAGGCAGAGGCCCAACCCACTGAACCACCCAGGCGCCCCAAGACAGCCCTCAGTGGTAATTATTGACATTATCCCCATTTCATGAAGGAGAATATTTAGGCACAGAGAAGTTAAGTGATGTGCCCGATATCACACAGAAAATGGCAGAGCTAGGATTTGAGCCCAGCACTTTGGGCTCAGAGCCTCTGCCACAGCTTTTGTCAATTGTGTTACTTTTGTGTTAACTGTATTTTATAATATTGTTGCAATTTCAGTAAATAGGATTTCCATTTGCATTAAAAAGTCTTATCCTAATAGCTCCTAATAAAGTCTTCTCCTAGTTGTTGTGGGGGACCATCAAGTGGATTGCGGCTACGTAACAGCAATAGTTTGCTAACACATTCTTTTTTTTTTTTTTTAAGATTTTATTTATTTATTTGACAGACAGAGATCACAAGTAGGCACAGAGGCAGGCAGAGAGAGGGAGGGGAAGCAGGCTCCCTGCTGAGCAGAGAGCCTGATGCGGGGCTTGGTCCCACGATCCCAGGACTCTGGGACCATGACCTGAGCCGAAGGCAGAGGCTCTAACCCACTGAGCCACCCAGGCGCCCCTTGCTAACACATTCTTCATTAGGAGTGGTATTTTTGTTCCAGTTCACACATGCAGATGGCTCTTTCTTCAAACAAAAATTCCAAACCTTATAATTTCAAGCTTCATTTTCTATAGCTTTTAGTTAAATTCAGTCAGTTGCTGAACAGAAAAATGATAAGGATTTCAGTAGGTGAATTAGCACTGACTCTTCTTAGTCCTTGCTCTAGAACAGGGTTTCTCAATTTTGGTGCTATTGACACCAAATAATTCTTTCTTGTGGGGGACCGTCAAGTGGATTGTTGTGGGGGGCCATCAAGTGGATTGTGGCTACGTAACAGCAGGCCTGAATTCTACCCATGTCATTCTAGGAGCACTCTCTAGCCCTTCTCAGACTTGCTCAGGAGTGAGAACCACTCCTCCTCTCTGGTTACTTTATGGCATTTGTGTTGCTAGTTGCTGGAGCCTTGGTTTTAAATTGTGAATGACTCACCATTGATTTCCACTTTCACATCTAGTAAGACTAGCCAACCCGAAGTCATGTGCTTTTTGATCTTACCTAGGAGTTTTTTTTTCCTTTTCTTTTACATCTCTGTAGGAAGTTCGGGTTTGTGAATTTTAAATTTGCTCATGACCAGGGAAGAGCCTTGAGACTTAGTGAGACAAACGTCCTTGGGTATGAAATTAAATTAAGAAAACCGAAAAGAAAGGATGTAAGAAAGGTATGCAAACAAGTTTATTTGTTGATAGATACCTGTATATCTAGCCAACTTTGGGTCAAGAATGAGTCTCGGATTCTTACTCATGCAAGTAGTCTGTTACCATTGGGTCACTTCCTTGCACAGCGCAAACTTTGCATACATTACTCTCGCCCTCTGTGCTCGAGCTGCATGGCTCACCTCCCCTGTCATAATGTTCTTTGTCTCCAGGACTCATTCCCTGGTTACCTGCAGCCCATCCATAGAATCTCAGTTTAAGGGTCACTTCCTCAGGATCAGAAAAATTTTCCCTTACTTCCAGACTAGGTTAAGTCATTTTGGGGTGGGGGAAGGGTGCTTGGGGGAACTTTTTTTTTTTGAGAGAGAGAGAGAGAGAGAGTGTGTGTGAGCATGGAGGGGCAGAGGGAGAAGGAGAGAAAGAATCTTTAAACAGGTTCCACACTGAGCGTGGAGCCCAACATGGGGCTCAGTCCCACAACTCTGAGATCAGGACCTGAGCTGAAATAAAGAGTTGGATGCTTAATCGACTGAGCCACCCAGGTGCCCCTCTTCTTCTTTTTTTTAACTTTATTTATTTATTTTAAGTAATCTCTCCACCCACCATGGGGCTCAAACTCACTACCCGGAGATCAAGAGTCTCATGTTCATCTATCTGAGCCAGCCAGGTGCCCCTAGCTTAAGTCTTTACTGGGTGTTCTCCTTTCCCTTTTTACTTTTCCTTCTTGGCACTCACCAGAGTTTGTAATTATATGACTATTTGCTTAATAGCCTTTCCCCCCAACAAGACCACTTTCCTGACAGTTGAGGCCAAGTCTGTATTTTCGTAGAGCATGTAGCACGGGCCCTCACCCAGATATATGTTGAAAGATTTGTTAAATGAAGGAATATGTATTGCTTTTGACACCTTCAATTCCTGGAGAAGTATTTTTTCTCCTTTAGAGAACTTTAGATACTTCATTAGATCTGAACTTGGACTAAAAATACTCTTTTGTGTTATGTAGATCAGAATGTCAAAACACTTTTCGAGAACCTGCCTGACAAAGTCATTCAACATGAGTTAAAAGAAGTGTTTAAGGATGCCTTTCAAGTCAGATTGGTGAGCAAGGATGGGACGAGTAAAAGTGTATTTTGTACCTATATTGAAAAAGAATATATTTCTACTGGATTCAGACATAACAGAATTTCATTACATTCTCCTTAACTGCTTAAGGAAAGAAAAAAGAAGAGAAAAGAAAAGAAAAGAAAAGAAAAAAAAGAACCAACAACCCAGGAAAAATAGTGGCAAATTATAAACAGGTAGGTCACAGAAAAGGAATTTTCTTTTGAACTTAAGATACTTATCCTCACTCATACTAAAAGAATTATAAATTAAAATGCAATTTTAATTAATTTATTTAGATGTAACATTTTACCTATTAGATACTAACAATCAAAAAGTTATTCCACGGGGCGCCTGGGTGGCTCAGTTGGTTGAGCAACTGCCTTCGGCTCAGGTCATGATCCTGGAGTCCTGGGATCGAGTCCCACATCGGACTCCCTGCTCGGCGGGGAGTCTGCTTCTCCCGCTGATCTCTCTCTCCTCTCATGCTCTCTCTCTCTCTCTCTCTCAAATAAATAAATTAAAAAAAAAAAAAGTTATTCCACAGTATCGAAGAGGGTTGGAGAAACTGGCATGCTTGGACATTGTTGGTGGAAGGGAAATTGCTGAAGTCTCTGTGGAGATGAGTTAGTATCTATCAGTTGTGTTGCTTGTACCATTTTATGGGGCAGTACGAATCCTAAGAATTTATCCCACAGATAGACAAGTGTGACATAATATATTACAGAGTTGGCTGATGCAAAATTAGAATTAGCCTGAATATCTATCAATAGAAAACTGGCTAAAATTTTCTGGTAGGTCCAAAAGACATTATACCATGCAGTTGTAAAAAGAAGTGAGACATTACTTTGTGTGCTGATGGGAAAGAAACTCCAATATAAAGGCAAAATATAGAACAGTGTGTATATGATATTCTCTTTTTTTATGTAAAAACATAACGGAGGACAAACCTACACAAAAATGAACTCAAAATAGATCAAAGACCTAAATGTAAGAGCTGAAACAAAACTATGGTGAAAACACAGGAGTAAATCCTTGTGATCTTAGGTTAGGGTATCATGCAGGCAATAAAAGATTGATAAGTTGGGCTTTATCAAAATTAAAAACATTTGTACTTCAAAGGACACTACACAAAAATCAAAACAACTCTGCAGACTGGGAAAAAATATGGCAAATTGTGTATCCGATGAGAGCCTTGGATTCGGAATATGTGAAGAACTCTCACAACTCAGTCATAAGACTACCCAATTGAAAAATGGGCAAAAAGCTTGAATGGGTATTGCTCCAAACAAAGTATATGAATGGCCAATAAGAACATGAAAAGATGCTCCAGGAGTTGGTAAGGAAATGCAAGTCAAAACCATGATGTGATTCCCACTTCCCACCCATCAGAGTGGCTGATGATGAGAGAGGCAGACAATAGCATGTGTTGGCAAGGTGAAGGGGACATTGGAACCCACATTCGTTGCCAGTGGGAATGTAAAACAAAATAGTGCAGTTGCTGGGGAAAACGGTTTAGCAGTTTCTCAAAATGTTAAACAGAGAGTCGCCATATGGTGCGGCAATTCTACTACTCGGTGTGAACGTAATGAAAACCTATAGCCACTCGCTTCTACACATGTTCAGATCACCTTCATTCGTAATAGCCGAAAAGTGGAAACAACTCCAAATGTCCACCAGCTGATGGATGGATAAATAAAATGTGTCATTTCCACACAAGGTGACATTATCCTGCCATAAAAAGGAATGATGGACTGACACATGCTACATCTTGGATGAGTCTGGAAAACATCAGGCCAAGTGAAAGAAGGCAGGCACAAAGGATTGCATATTCGTGTGATCCCATTTATCCGAAATGTCCAGAATGGGCAAGTAGCATGGTAGTTGGGCCGGGCCCTGGGAATGAGTTGGAGGGAATGAGGAGGGACTGCTGATGGATACTTTGGGAGAGGATAAAAATATTCTAAAATTAGATCATGGTGATGATTATAGAATGCTGTAAACATACTAGAAATCATTATATACTTTGTTATTATTTTGTTTAAAGATTTCATTTTTAAGTAATCGCTACACCCAGTGTGGGACTTGAATTCGCAACCCTGAGATCAAGAGTTACATGCTGGGGTGCCTGGGTGGCTCAGTGGGTTAAAGCCTCTGCCTTCAGCTCGGGTCATGATCCCAGGGTCCTGGGATGGAGCACCGCATCGGGCTCTCTGCTCAGCAGGGAGCCTGCTCCCCCGCCCCTGCCTGCCTCTCTGCCTACTTGTGATCTCTGTCTGTCAAAAAAATAAATAAAATCTTAAAAAAAAAAAAAAAGAGTTACATGCTCCACCGACTGAGCCAGCCAGGCATCCCTTACTGTACACGTTAACCAGATGCATTTTATGATATGTAAAGTACATCTCAGGCAAGCTTTGAAAGGTAGAGTGTGTATGTGTGTACATTTATATGTATGGCGTGTTGCCTGTAAGGATAGAAATTGGGCAGAAGGCACGCACACTTTACCGTATTCTTTTCTCTCTTTTGCAGTTTGAATCCTGCATGTGTGTCACTAATTCAGAAGATGAAAGGACTAAATGTTGACTCTTCGTTCTTCTCTCCCCCACACCATCTCCACAACTGCAGGATTGCATATGTTGATTTCAAGTCACAGGCTGATGCAGAAAGAGCCTTGGACTAGAAACAAGGAGCAGAGGTCAGTGGGCTTGCCATAGTTCTGGGCCACGCTGGAGAGAAAAGCCAAGGCCAAGAAGGGAGGGGGGAGACGCACAGCACATAGAGAAGTAAGGGATGTTAACGTGCTGTAGACTGAGGCTTGCCAGGGTTGTCAGCAGAGTCCCCCAGAGAGGGGCTTACAGGGGGAGAGGGACACTTCCATACAATGTCTCCCTGTATCAAAAATGTGTAAGTCATCCTCCTATCAAGCAAATGAGTAGTGTCCTAGTTAACTGTAACCACAAAATCTGCAAAAACATGGCACTTTGAGGTCCATCAGCTCCCCAAGAAGGGGATTCTGTTTGGACAGGTTCTTAAACCTGTGGTTTCAGAATTCGAGATTTAATTCTCTTCAAGTAGAGTTTTTGTCTGCTTTAAACCAGAGATCCCAAACCAGTGTCCCTAAGCTGCCTAATTTGATGGGTAGATGTGGTATATATAATATTTTCAGGAAAAAGAATTTATTATGTATCATGAAATTTCACATTGGTAGTATCCCTCATCTGCCTAATCTGATGGGTAGATGTTGTAGCTTATCTAGTATTTACAGGAAAAAAACCCAATCTATTACTAATATTTTTAAGAATCAAGGACTTTCAGGTAGAATTCTGGATTTCCAGCTTCTTTTGCTGGGGCCTCAAAATTGATGGCCTGGGGCTGCGTTCCTGCGTGTCTGCAGTCACCTGCACAAGGACAATCAGAGATTTCTTCTTAGTCATGCCCTACAGTCCCCAAGCCCCCACAATTTACTCAGTTCTCCCCTACTTCGAAGGAGTGAACTGCACACTTCCACTTTGCAAAAATAGAGTCTCTACGTTTCTCTTGCAAAGTAGTACTTTTCTATCTGTAAAGGTGACATTTTAATATTTCTTATGTGTTTGTGTGTTCCAAAAGTGGGAAAACAAAAGCTAAAACAAGAAAGCCATGTGTTTCAAGAAAAATAGGAACAAGCTTATTTCTTTGTGGAGGTTAAGAATGTTCCTACGTGTTTAATATGCAAAGTGTGCCGGTGTCGATGGAATTGAACCTCAGACGCCATTATGAAACAATCCACAGAAGGAACCATGATGGATATACTCAAAAGATGTGTGATAGGGGCGCCTGGGTGGCTTAGTGGGTTAAAGCCTCTGCCTTCGGCTCAGGTCATGATCCCAGGATCCTGGGATCGAGCCCCGTATCGGGCTCTCTGCTCAGCGGGGAGCCTGCTTTCTCCTCTCTCTCTGCCTGCCTCTCTGCCTACTTGTGATCTTTGTCTGTCAAATAAATAAATAAAATCTTTAAAAAAAAAGATGCGTGATAAAAAACTTAAACGAACTGAAAAAGAGACTGAAATTTCAACACGACTTACTTTTGAGAGTTAATAAAATAAATGCCCCCGCTAGGAAATGCAGTTATGTGTTAAGTAAGAAAATTGCCTGGGCATCGAAACCTTTTACAGATGGTCTAAGTTGTTTTTTTTTTTTAAGATTTTTTTTTTTTTAATTTATTTGACAGAGATCGCAAGTTGGCAGAGGGGGGTGGGGCGGGAAGTAGGCTCCCCGCTGAGCAGAGAGCCTGATGCAGGGCTTGATCCTAGGACCCTGAGATCATGACCTGAGTCAAAGGCAGAGGCTTAACCCACGAGCCACCCAGGCACCCCCAGATGGTAAGTTTATAAAGGAATGTCTGTTGAGTGCAGCGGAACAGAGACAAGCATTTGCCAGTCTAAGACTAAGTGGTAATACTGTTAAGCATCATGTTGACAGGCTCATGAAAGGGTCAATGGAGATAATGCCCTCCGAGTTGGCTATATTTATTTGTGCTGTTGATGACGCTTTCGATGGGATGGAAGAACTTTTGGACGTGGTTCCCATGTCAGGAAATGACTGACTTGTCTATATTTATTTGTGCTGTTGATGACGCTTTCGATGGGATGGAAGAACTTTTGGACGTGGTTCCCATGTCAGGAAATGACTGACTTGTCTATATTATCGGGCTCTCTGCTTGGCAGGGAGCCTGCTTCCTCCTCTCTCTCTCTCTGCCTGCTTCTCTGCCTACTTGTGATCTCTCTCTGTCAAATAAATAAATAAAATAAAAAAAAAAAGTGACATCTTGGGGTGCCTGGGTGGCGGCTCAGTCAGTTGGGCAGCTGCCTTTGGCTCAGGTCATGATTCCAGGGTCCTGGGATCGAGTCCTGCATCAGGCTTCCTGCTCAGTGGGGAGCCTGCCTCTCCCTCTCCCTCTGCCTGCTGCTCCCCCTACTTGTGCTCTTTCTCTTTCTCTCTAATAAATAAATACACTCTTAAAAAAATAAAATCTTCCCATTTGCAACAATGTGGATATAACTAGAGGGCATTATGCTAACTGAAATAAGTCAGTCAGAGAAAGACAAATACCATATGATTTCACTAATATGTGAAATTTAAGAAACAAAACAGAGGATCAGATGGGAAGGGAGGGAAAAATAAGGCAAAATCAGAGAGGGAGACAAACCGTAGAGACT